AAGAAGTCCTAGGCCAAGCCATGGTTCTAGGAACTTGTACATAGAGGATTTGTCAATTTGCTTTGAACTAGTTAAAAGTACCTTAGGAAGAGAAAAAAATATTTGAGAGCTATATAGACATCAAAACAATTTCAATTATAGGAACACCTGGCTAGAACACAGCTACTTTTTAAGGCATCGTTTCATAACCTTTATTTTCTCTCTGATTCATTTTCATTCCTGTGCCTCAAAGAAATTCAGTTAGAGTTTTGAAAATGTAACTGTCTTGGGGACTAAATAGAGTTGAGGAAAAGAAAAATGTCCAAGATGGTTCCTGCCACGAACTAGGAACCAGGTGGACTCATTCAACGAGGGTGAAGGGAAGAGAAGAAGGAGCAGGCGAACCTGGGGGATGAGCAGGAATCGCGAGCGTGTTTTCAGGTATGTTGACTTTGAAGTATTCAAGTTGTTGTGGTCTGAAAGAGGGGTGAAGTTCAGGGTAAGGCTTGAGCTAGAGACACCTATGTGACTGTCACCAGTATATAGGTGACATTGGAAGCTATGCACGTAATTGGATCGCAAGCATTAGAGTGAAGTAGGAGAGGGATGAGTGTCTAGGACTGAGCCCAGAGTCTTGCCAAGCTTCTTGCTTGAGTCCCCTGCTCTGGAGAGATCTCTACCTGCATACATCAAACCCACCTGTACTAGGTCAACTGTGGCTGAAATGCTATGCAGCGTCCCCTCACTGTCTTCTCTGAACCAGCATTCTGGAGGGTGGTACAAGAGAAACTCCAACATTTTTGCCACAACAAGAAAGACATGTCCCAGAATTCTCACCTAGGAAATTCTCTTTTTAATTTCGTTCCATGAAGAGAAGCTCTGCTTATCCCGTTTTTACCTCCTGACCCAAATCCTTTTCTCATCACACCACAAGATAATTTTCCCAGTGTCACAGCTATAAGTTAAAGATCTAAAAACTTTTTGAGGACTAATTTCAACAGCATGGATTAATCATATCTACCCTATAAATATCAGATTAGCATTCTCCTTTAAATTTGGAGTCATAAATTTATCATCAATGTAAGACCCTAAACACCTTGAAGGAAACATCCATTTTATTAGTCTTATATTTCTAGGGTCTTAAAACAGTGTCTGGTAGATAATAAGTGCTCACCTTATGGAATAATCTATTTACGGTTCTAAAAAACTATATCCTTCTGTAGACTTTCCAAAAATGGAAAACAAATATATTGGGACCTGAAAGCAAATGTGCACTTATATCTGGAGGAGGTTAGGCTTCCAGGATTCAGACTACATCTGGAAAGCATTACATGGCACCTATATAGCCTAAAGTATTTCATGGAGTGCTGTTTGCACTGAATTAAATGACATATAAGGACACATTTATTGTATTTGCTCTGATGAGGTTCTCTCATTATCAAATATACAGTGTAATATTACTCATATTTAGCACATACTCACCTCTACATTTTCCGCATTATAAAGGACCACCATCGGCACTGGCCCAACCCAGAGCTTCAGCAGTGGCATATGGCGGAATTCTTCTGTGAACTGAATTATCTGTTGAAAAAATTCTGGGAGAAAAATATTAAAATTCAATCAAGACAAGAATTTGTGAATGTATTGTATAGATGTTCATTTCCTCATTTTGATAAAGATACCAATTATGTAATGTGTTACCATTATAGGAAGCTGGATAGAGGGCATATACAGTATGGAACTCTCCATGCTATTATTGCAACTTTTCTGTAGGTCTAAAATTATTTCAAAATAGTATTTGCCCCAGCAAATAAATAAAACATAATGAACGTTAGCTATATGGAATAATTATTATTAGGTTTTGATGTACCAAAATGTGCACTCTTTTTCTAATCATTGCCCAATATCTCAGAACTAGCAAATGGTGTATCAAGATGGAAGAACGTCTCTCAGATAAAACAGCTGTCGAAATTGGTATGAAAAGGGCTGGGTCAGATTGCCAGTATCAAAAAATCTTGCTTCATGCTAATATTATATATTGCCTGCCTTGGTCTGGTCTGAAAGAGGGGACAGGGAGGTCTGAATGGATGGTTTGAAGGTATCACCAAGAGCTGGGAGAAGCTGGGGAAGGCACCACTGTGCGTCTGCTGGAAAACACGAGATTGGGGTTTAGAGGACAGTTGGAAGCAAACCGCACTACTCAAGGTAAGATCACTAAGGCTAGAATTTGGACATTAGAGAATGAAAGGCATAGTCCTTTGTATTTAAAAGACAGGATTATTGAGAATAAGGACTACATCTTATTCTGATATCTCCAACTTTGCTGAGCTCAGTACTAAACACAAAGCAGGACTTCTATAAATGCCTGATTGATAATTAAAGAACTTATTCTAATCAAGTGATCTAGAAACTTTGCATGCATTAATCTTTTAAATAACTGTGTAATATAGTTACTTTTACAAGTAAAGAGGGAAAAAACTCTCTAACTTAGAGAGTTTTAAACAACTTCTCAAACAACTTGGTTACAAAGCTGGCAATTGAGCCACGGTTTTCCTGATGCCAAAATCCAGCATTTGTCGATGGAATAAAAAGTCCCTTTGTAAAAGACAGAATATTGTCATTCTCTTCACTCAGAAAGTAACTCCAAGGAGAATTACTTTAAAAAAGTCCAGGCTGGGCGCAGTGGCTCATGCCTGTAATCCTAGCACTCTGGGAGGCCGAGGCGGGTGGATCCCTTGAGTTCAGGAGTTTGAGACCAGCCTGAGCAAGAGCGGGAACCCGTCTCTGCTAAAAACAGAAAGAAATTAGTTGGACAACTAAAAATATATGGAAAAAATTAGCCGGGTATGGTGGCGCATGCCTGTAGCCCCAGCTACTCGGGAGGCTGAGGCAGGAGGATCGCTTGAGCCCAGGAGTTTGAGGTCGCTGTGAGCTAGGCTGACGCCACGGCACTCTAGCCCGGGCAACAAAGCAAGACTGTCTCAAAAAAAAAAAAAGTCTGATCAGCTCACAATTTGTTTTGAAACAAGTCTTATTCACCAGAGATTTTAATTCTTAGAATCCCCAAAAGAATACGATGAGACTTCTTAAGTATATCACTTTTGAAGGGTAAGGGGGCGGTGAAACCTACACAATTATTTTTAATATCATAAGGCTTTAGATGGCTAGCTCTGCTTTTAGTATTAACCAATATGATTTTTACCAATGTGATTCTCATATCTAACTGTTGGATTACTTGTAATATTTGTTGATATGTGGTTGGTAAAAAGTTTACTTGGATTTTTTTTTTCTCCCAGAAAATAGTTTCAATATTTTTGCAAACATTCTCCATGAGGCCTCAACTTATTCCTATGAAGTTGACGTGACAGTGTTATTTTTATCTGGGCAAACAGAGATGGAAATGAAATAATCCTTCACACTTTGGAGTTAATGCTCAGCCTGTAAAATGATTATTAACAATCCCAGGAGGAACTGGGTTCTGAACTGGGCCTTTTTTTTTTTTTTTTTGAGACAGTCTCATTCTGTCACCCAGGGTAGAGTGCAGTGGCATCACCATAGCTAACTGCAACCACAGACTCCTGGGCTCAAGCGATCCTCCTGCCTCAGCCACCCAGGGTGCTAGGACTACAGGCGTGATCCACCACGCCAGGCCAGGGCTCATTTTAAAATATGTCATGTTGGGCAAATCTTTTCAGTTCTGGGTATCTCAACTTACACACCTACGAAAATAAAGTGCTAAGATCTAATTCACGCTCCCTAACTGGGGACTGCAAATACCACGTACTTTTGAGAGCTTTCAAATGTAAAGTGATCTTTTTTCTCATCAACAAAACATAAGTCTATCTCTTTTTAAAAGATGATTTCAATAAAAAATGCACTCTTTGATAAATAAGGCTTTTGAAATTTGCCATATAAATTTACCTGAAGGCCTTGCTATCATAGTTTATTACCTGTTATTATGCAATCTCCTTAAAAAGGTTAAAATAGGAAGTTCAAGAAGGAACAAAAGTAATGGTCTATTCTTGTGATGTTGGGGCGGGCAGCCTCAAATGACTCTCTAATCTCTTATTTTCCAAAGTGAGAGAAAGAGGAGGGCAGCACTAAGTTTTAAGGTATTTGCCAGTTTTAAAGTATTTGCTGTGTTCCCAGAGAGTTTAAATTCTTCAGGCTTCACAAGCCAAGACAGTAGAAAAGGCAGACGGGGTTTTGAGAGCTGAGCAGCTAAGAGGTGGGGAAAGAAGAGAAAAAGCAGAGAGCAGGAGTGTGGAAATACTGCATTCTGTGCCATGCACCAAGCAAATGTCCTTTACGGGATTGGGGCTACAAGTAATGTCGGCAGGTGTCAAAGGAAAAAGTGGGTTCAACTGGGAATCCATTCTCTACCTAATGACGATTCTTCTCTCCCGCAACAGCCAGCGCCAGGGCTACTGGGGTTCCAGACAAACGGGCGGGGGGCGGTGCGGACCACGTGTGTGGCCCCAGGAGGGGCGGGGCGGGCCCAGTCCCTACCTTGCCCGTCGTGCTTCATCATCAGCGCGTGTCCCACCAAGGGGTAGGCGGGGGCGACCGTGGGGATGGGCCTCATCTGCTGCCATTTCCGCGCGTAGCTCGCCACCATCCGCAGGAGGCTCAGGACGAGGGTGGCGCCGGCCAGAGAGACGGTGCTCGCCGCGCCCCAGAGCAGCAGCTTCTGCCCGACGATCCCCAGCCAGAGCCCCACCATGTCGGCGGCGGCTCGCTGCGCTCGGCCGGCCGGGTCCGGGCCGGGTTCGGTCCGCGCGTCGGCAACGGGGGTGGGGAGAGGCGGCGCCGGCCGCTCCCTTCTTCCTCCGCCCGCGCCCTCGGGACCCGGTCCGCTGGGCTGGGCGCGCCGCGGCGGCCGCCGGTGAGCGGAGAGCCTGCGCCGTGCACGCGCCTCGGCCGCCCGCACGCCGAAAGCGAAACCCGGAAAACTGCGTCTGGGCCCTGCAGGGGTTCTGAGTGCACGCGAGGGCGTCAGAGTGGGATGGGGGGAAGGGTCGTTACGTTTCGGGCACCTTCAGGATGGAGAGCACATTGGAACTGGTCACTTCGACGTCCTCGGGCGCCCTGGGGCCACCCACTCTTGGGTTATGGGAGCCCACTGCTGGGGGGGTGGGAGTTGGAGCAGAGCGGGGTGGGGGTGGCGAATTTGGCTGAAATGAAGAGGCTTGGTTTGACATTCGGCTTTGCAGCTCTAACCGCGCACTTCTTGCTCGAGCCGCGGCGCTGCGGCACTCGGCCGGGACTGGCTGCCCGCCGGGAGGTGGGTCGTCCTGCCTCCTGCATCAGGGTACTTTAGAACAGCTGGCGACTTTGACCCCGGGTGGCCTCAGGGACACAATCTTAAACCACCTGTTCAGTTTGTGCCAGCTGACGGAGACACTGGAGAGCTAAGTGAGGTTGTTATGATCCAGATATTTTTTCCAAAATATCTTCCAGACCAAGGAAAGCCAGAGACTAAGAGAACAAGAAGGGTCGGATAGGAGAGGACAGCGGAGGGTTTCAGAAAGGGTGGGGCTGTGGCTGCTGGAGAGGAGGGTTTGACGAGCAGACTGCGGTTGCGGAGCGTGCGGGAGGAAAGGGGAGGCCAGAGAGAAGGATGCTTGAATTCTGACCGCGACTGTGTTCCCCGACGACCAGTTTGTCTCCCCCAGGCAGAAGTGCCCCAATCCTGCCTCTGATTCCTTTTTCTACACTTGATGCTTCCTGCAAAGGCTAGGAGTGTTCCTCTCCTAACCGCCAAGTGCCAAGGAAGATGAAATAGGAAGAACGCCCTGGGGCCCTATTTTGCTCAATTAGATTAGTTGCTGGCAGCTACTGTATAGGTTGCCCACAGCCCCTGCAGGGCCGCGTTGATGCAGAGAAAAACATGCCCCGAGGTTTTGCCCCAGTTGAATTTTTTTTTCTAAGTCATGCATATGTGCTGACATGGAAAGAGGTTTATGAAATATTAAGTGGAAACAAACAAAAAAAGAAACAAAACAAGTTGCACAACAGATGTGATGCCATCTTTGGAACACAGGGTTTCCCGTTAGCGACACTAATGTCTGAAAAGAAAATCCTGATCAACTCTATGGAATGGAGAAGGGGAACGTACAGTTTTTATTTTACTTACTTCTATATTGTATAATCACTTTAAGACTTTTTTAAAATAAATGTATTTATTTAATATTTTTAAGTATGTCTCATGGGCTTTAGTTTCCTCCTCTATAAAGGGTTGAGGCTGAACTATGAAATCAATTACAGCTATAAAAGTACAAGATTTGTCTTTATCAGACTCTGCTAATCTCTGTGGACAAAACAAGGACTATAACCTACCACGTCTCCCCTCAAGAACTGAAGGAGGAGGATTGCTGTAGGCAGCACAAGTAACAGCTGGGGCAAAGAAAGAGGCCAGAGCAGGGAAGGGTAGAATAAATTAAAGTCTTGTCCCTTTATTCTTTTAGTCATCTTTCCCTTGCCCTCCTTGTTACCAAATTGCCTTGGCATATGGAAATTTCAGACTAAACCAGTCAGATAGCTGGGAGTAGAAGAAATCCACGACAATGCCCTTCTTACAGGACAGTCTCAGGATAACAAAGAACACACCGTTGCACCTTAGAATGTTCACCATGAAACTTAGTGGTGCTTTTTGTAGCAAATGACTGCATTGCCAATGTGATGGCAATCTACCTACAACATTTGTAACCCCTGCAGATTTTCAGTTTCGTGGAGCTATTCTCACTGAGTAGGAAAGCATCTCCTTTCCTGTCCAAAGACAGCTTCCATAACAAAAGATACCCTTCCCCCTTGGAAGATCTTTCTTTGGTCAAGATCTTTGTTTGGTACTCTCTCACACTTGAAATCAGTGCTTTTGAAAGTTAAATTCATGGGCAAGAATATGTTACAATACTTTTATTTCCTAAATTTTCTGTCATTTGGAATGATTCCCAATATAAAAAAGATATTTAATTTAGATTATAAAAATAAATTCCTGGCTGGGTAGAGAAGTACATTATCTGCATATACATCAAATTATAAACTTTGACATCAAGTTTTGAATCACAGATGCCAATATTAAATGATGTGCATAATACTTAAATGTGCAGTTTTATGGACAAACATCACCACTTCCATGTAACCACCACCCAGATTATACAGTAGAACATGGAATCATGTAGTATGTACTCTCTTTCATCTGGCGTCTTAAACTCAACATTGTATCTGTGAGATGAACCTGTATTGCTGTGTGTAGTAGTTTCCCTTATTTTTCACAGCTGTATATTATTTCATTGTTTGAATATATCAAAATTTATTGTTGACTTTACTGCCAAAAGATGCTTCAGTTGCTTCCTTTTTTTCCACGTTATTAATAATTTTGTATGATCACTCTTGTGGATGTCTTTTAATACACATGTACATATTTCTACTGAATATATGCCCAGGAGTGAAATTGCTAGGTCATATGGTATACATATATTTAGCCTTAGTAATTACTGTCAGTTTTCCAAAGTTGTACCAATTTACGTACTCATCAGCAGTCTGTGATAGTTCCAACTGCTCCAGATACTTGCCAACTTTTGGTATTGTCTCTTTTTTTTTTTTGGTAAAGCCATTCAGTTAGGTCTTGTGGTAGTATCACACTGAGACTTGAATATGCATTTTCCTAATGATTTATGATGTTGAACAGCTTTTCAAAAGATTATTGGAAATTTTGAAAAGTGTCTGTTAAATCATTTGCCCATGTTTAGCAGTGATTTTTAGGAGTTCTATGTGTATATATGTATGTAATTAATAATAATTGTTATATAATAAATTATATATATATATAAATACATGTCCTTTGCCAGATATATAGTGTGAAATTTCTTCTTCTCTGTAGTTTGCCTTACCACTCTCTTAATGTTTTCATAATCGATTTTGTGCTGCTATAACAGAATACCACAGACTGAATAATTTATAAACAAGTTTATTTAGCTTACAGTCCTAGTGGCTGGGAAGTACAAAATTGAAGGGCTGCAGCTGGTGAGGGCCTTCAGCTGCGTCAACCCATGGCAGAAGGTGGAAGGGCACAAGAGCAACTGTGAGAGAAGCAAGAGGAAGGGTCTAGACTCATCCTCTGACCAGGAACCCACGCCCATGATAACGGCATTAATCCATTGGAGGGCAAAGCCCTTATGACCTAATCACCTCTTTAGGGTCCCAACTGGACACTGTGGCGTTGGGGATTAAGTTTCCAACACATGAACTTTGGGGGACACATTCAAACCATAGCAGATGTCTTTGAATAAATAGAACGCTTTTAAATTTTAGTCAAGTCAAATTTATTGGTCCTTTTTGTTATCGTTTATGTTTTCTGGGTCTTGTTTAGAAAATCTTTGCCTGCCACAAGGCAGAAAAGATAATCTCTTATGTTAATTTCTAGGATTTTATCGTTTTACCTTTCATATTTAGATTCAAGAATCATCTGTAAAGTATTTGTGTGTGTGTGGTAGTGAGGTAGACTTCAATGTCCATTTTTATAAAAATATGAATATCCAGTTGATTCGAAAGTTATTTAAGGCCATCCTTTAATCAATGCATTGCAATGGCATCATGTCACAAATCAGGTGGCTGGACACATACCTATGGTCTATTCTGTCTATTGCTCTGTTTGTCCTTCCCTGTGCCAATAGCAGACGCTATTTTGATTTAATGTAATTGTATAAGTCTAGATATTTCTTGGCGTCAGTTATCGAACTTGTTTTCCAAATTTGTCAAAATTGTCTTGCTAATTTGAGCTCTTTGTATTTCCATATAAATTTTAGAATAATATTAATGCACACACAAACACATACACACACACACAAATTCCCTGATGGGATTTTGATTCTGACTGAATTAAATATAAAAATCATTACACATTGTATGCTTGCATCAAAATATCACATGTACCCCATAAATATGTACAACTATTATGTATCCATAAAAACTAAACGTTAAAAAAATCAATTTGGAGAGAATTGACATCTTTATAATACCTGTACTAAGTCTTTCAATCCATGAACATCATATGATGTTATCACTTTGTCTATTTGGATTTTCTTTCATTTCTCCAAGAAATGTTTAGTAGCTTTCTTTGAGGATGTCTTACCCATTGTAATGGCTAATTTTATATGTCATCTTGGTTATGGGGCCCAGTTGTTTGGTCAAACACCACTCTAGATGTTGCTGTATTTTTTAGATATCATTAACATTTAAATCAGTAGATTTAGAGTAAAGTGGATTGCCCTCCATAATGTGGGTGGGCCTTGTCCACCCAGTTGAAGGCCCCAAGAATAGAGGTTTCCTGAGAAAGAAATCATATGGCTTCAAGACTGCAACCCAGAAAACCTACCAGAGTTTCCAGCCTACCTGTCTTGTCTTGTGGATTTCAGACTCAATGCTGTAACATCAGTTCTCACCTGAATTTCCAGGTTGCTCTACAGATTGCAGACTTGCTAGCCCACTTTCTCCTTAAAAGAAATCTCTTTTTCTATTTCCCCCTCCTTCTCCATATGTGTGTATGTGTGTATGTGTATCCCCTATTAATTCTGTTTCTCTGGAGAACTCTAATATAACCATTTCATTAAATTTATTTCTAGGTATTTGATTTTTTTGAGGTTATTATGAATTGTATTTTTATAAATTTTATTCTCTAATTGTTAGTATAGAGAAATGCAATTGACTCTTTATATCGACCTTGTTTTCAATGATGTCAATAAAATCACATAGTATTTTTTAAGTATATTTGTAGATTATTTTGAAATTTCTATATACACCATCATGATTTCTATGAAAAATGAATTTTTTCCTTTTTTCTCCATTCTTAACACCCTTTAATAATATAATCTTGTCCTGTTGGGCTGGCAAGTATATCCTGTATAATGATGAATAACATTGGTGGTAGCTGACACTTTTTGTATTGTTTCTGACTTTAGGAGGTAGAGTTCAAATTAAAATTTGAACTAAAGTCAGAATAAAATAACCATTAAGTATGAAGTCTGCTATAGGTTTTTCTCTCTAATTACCCGTTATCAGATGACAGTTGTTCTCTTATCTTCCCAGTTTACTAGGAATTTTTTTATGAATGGGTATTTTTTCAAAGATTTTTTTGTCCATCTACTGAGATAATTATATGGTCATTTCCTTTACA